CCATTGCTCGGGGGGCTGCAGGGGCTGGGGTACAGGGGACCGGTGCCTGACACCCCTCCCTTGCAGGGGTTGATGGCGGGGAGAGGACCCCCAGGAGGCTCTTCTGGGGCAGCTTCAGCATCTGGAGCCCCAAACTTCACCCCGGCTGAGGGGTCTGAGGACCCTGTGGTAGGGAGCGTGGTGCTGAGGGGGGTCAACCCCCACCTCTGCCCCGAAACTGAGGCAGGGGGAAAGTGCACAGCCTTGCCCTGGGAGCTGTGGGGAGGCTTTGCCCCCAGGTAGACACTACAGGGTTGAGATGGGGGGTATGGCATGTCCAGACCCTGGAAAACATGGAGATGCCCCCACTGCAGAGCGGACCCTGCACAGAGACAGCACTGGGGGTGAGGATGGAGCTGCCCTGGGAACCGTGTGTATAAGTGTGTACAGAAATAAATATGTCTAATAAACACCTGTGTGAGGGTGGGGGACACTGTGGGGGCTGGCGTGGCCACTGTCACCCTGTGGGGACAGGGAATGGGGACAGTGGCAATAACAGGGCAGGGCATGATGTCCCCACACTGTCCTTGGCACCCCTTGGTGGCACCTACATCACCCCAGGGGGGTCACACATCTATGCCGTGGGGCAATGCAGCCACCCCCAGACTGGGTGCAGCTGGTGCTGGTTGCAGGCTGATGGCTCATTAATTATCAGGCTAATTAAGCTCCCACAGCCGCAGGTGGGGCTCAGGTCTCCTCCCACACCAGCAGTTCCTGCACTGGAGCTCCAGACCCCTGCGGTGGATGCCCAGGTGAGTGTGGCCCAGGTCATGAGTTCCCTGCAGTGTGTCAGGGGGCACAATGTCCCTAAGGACCCCCAGAGCACTGCTTCTCACTTCCCCACAGCTCCCAGTAAGCACAGGCAGGCAGTGGGTTGTTCACCCTCATCCTGCCCTGTCTGGCAGGGATTGTGCTTTAGGGACCTCTCTGGGCTCCCTATCCCCTCTCAGGGACAATCCCCAAGAGCCAGGTCGATGGAACCCAGTGCCCCCAGCTCTGTTTGTTTCCCAGTTGGTATCCCTGGAGCTGCTGGGCGGTTGTGATCCCCATGGACGTGGCCAGGGCAGCACCAGTGCCTGGGGTTGTGCAAAGCTGGTGGGTTATAGCAGCTTTCCCTGCACAGGGCTGCCAAGGGGGCTGAGGACCCAAGAGACTGGAACACCCCCTCCAGGACAGGGGCAGTGTCCCTCTGTGCCAATCCTGGACAGCTTGAAGGAACAGGGACACCTTTCATCCCTTCAAATGGAGCAAGAACAGGCTTGGTGCCAGCTGCCACAGGCCAGTGGGTTTGGGGTTTGCCCCATCCCCTTCTTCTGGTTGTCTGCAATGCTAGAGGGGTCTCGGCTCTGTGCCAGGAGGTGGGAGCCAGTCTCTGGGTGCCAGGGAGAAGGGCAAAGACAGCAGCTCCCTTGGGAAGTGCTTGCAACAGTTCCCCTCCTCACATGCTCTTACAGCAGCACCCCTGAGTGCCAAGTAGTGCAAGGGGCTGAGTGTCTTGTGTATCCCCCCCCTCCCGCAAAGATGACACAAGATGCAGCTGAATTCAGGAAAACTTTATTTAAATAAATATATTTACAGAGCAGCAGCTATTCCAGAGCAGATTTGATCCCGCTCAGTCAGCAGAATGCAAGGAGACATTGTGGTGGGCACCGCCTCAGGCATTGACCTAGCGGGGTGTGGGATCCCCAACGACTGGGGGGTACAGAGGATGGGGGACAGGACACCCAGCCCTCACTGCAGCATCTTCCTGCGGGGCAGGGCTGAGAGGCTGGAGGGCAGGGCTGGGAGGCTGCGGGGCAGGAGGTTGGGCAGTGCCAGGCTATTCTCCTCTTCCTTCTGCTCCTCGGTGGCATCCAGGAGCTGCTGCATGTAGCAGGAGGTGCCAAGCAGGGCATGGCCCGTGGCCTGCATGGTGAACAGTGTCCAGCGCAGAGCTTCCCTGGGCAGGGAGAAAGGGGGTGAGCGTCCCTCCTGGCATTCCACGGAGCAGGGTGGGCAGTGTCCCCACTCCCAGAGCCATCCCAGCCCCACAGCACTCACTTCATGAGGCGCCGGGCGCCGTAGCACTGCAGGTCGTAGGACACGCTGTAGGTGCCATAGAGGGTGGCTTTGACGTTGAGGCAGCCTGGGTCCCTCGGGTGGGTCTTGTACAAGTCAAAGGTGACACAGGCAACATCGATCTTCCGAGGGGGCTTGCGAGACAGGCCCAGCTGGTAGCCAGGAGTCTGGGGAGATCAGGGCCATGGTCACCCAGTGTTACACCACCCTCCCAGTCCCACCTCCCCACCAATTACAGCATGGAATAGACAGACTCAGCTGGGGGCCAGGAGTCTGGGGAGAGCAGGTCACACCCAGTGGCACCCCACCCTGCCAGTCCCACCTCACCCAGCATCCCACCTGATCCCAGCAAACAAACTAGCCTCCTGCTCTCCCTCCCAGGTCCACTCACCTTGGGGGCATCCCAGCTCTGCCCCTTGCTCAGGGCCATCAGCACCGTGCCCTCCTCCAGCGTCCGGAAGAACGACTCAGTCTCCACCACAGTTCCATCCTCATCCAGCACCAGTGAGATGGGACCCGGCATGGCCAGGGCACTCTGAGCCTGCAGGGGGCCTGGGAGTGAGCAGGGCTAGGGGCAGCCAGCCCACCTCCCACCTGGGACAGACAGACCCTGGACAGACAGACCCCCAGCTCACCTGCTTGACCAGCTCAGCAAGGCTCGGGGCCATGATACCCTTGCGCAGGCTCCGGTCCCAGTTGCACACACGGAAAGGCCGGGGCCGTGGGGCTGGGCTTGCCAGGAGCTGCTGGGTCATGGAGGCACTTGCTGAGACACATCTGGGGAGGGATACAGGGATTGGGGTGTCCTGAGTCCCACCACTGTCTCCTGGCACCCCAGGACTCAGTGGGGAGCAGCACATCACTTGGGGAGTAAAGGGGTGCCAAAGCAGGGAGGGCTCCAGTGTCCCCAGTCCTGGGAACAATGGCTCCATAGCACTTACCTGGAGACGGGGGCAGCCAGGCGCTGGCTCAGGGATTTGGCATAATCCATCTTTGCCAGGAGCACGGAGCAGCCTGTTTGGAGGAAGAATTTAGCCCTGGGCAAGGGTGGTCCTGTCCACTCCAGGAGACCTCTTCCCACCAACACCTCTCACTCCTGTCTGCTCCAGAAGAGCTTCCTAGTGGCACTTCCTGTGCTTAGCTCTGGTCCCGCTGCCTTTACAGGGGCTGTTCCTGCCCTTTGGCCGGCGGTGCCCGCCCGGCCAGAGTCCCCTGCCAGCACAGCTCTTGCGCAAAGGGACACACGGGGCCCTGAGTCAGCACTGGAGCAAAGGTGAGACACCAGCACTGGGATGTGTTTACACCCCAGGGTCTTCAGCGGGGACAGCCAGGGCATTGGGAGTCAGAGACACCCCTGGGAGCACTCCCAACCCTGTGGATCGAGAGATGTATCCAGCCAGGAGCCTGCTGGGGGGCTCCAGCCAGGGCCCTCATAAGGAGATCCAATGGACCTGGATTATCCCCATCCCCATCCCATCCCATCCCATTCCCCATCCCCATTCCCATCCCCATCCCCTCCCCATCCCCATTCCCCATCCCCATCCCCATCCCCATCCCCATCCCTCCCCATCCCCCATCCCCATCCATCCCCATCCCCATCCCCATCCCCATCCCCATCCCTCACCTGCAGCACACACCAACACCTCTCTTCCTGGATCACCCCCATCCCTGCCACCTCACCTTATATACCTGTCACAGACACTCCTCCCACCCGGCCACTCCCCTCCTGCCTCAGCCAATCCCCTCTGGGCGCCCTCAGGGGCCAATGTGTCACTGCTGGGGTGGTGGGCGGTGAGGAGGAATCTGAACTGGTGCCCCTGTGAGCCTCCTCCCAGGGCCCCCACCGAGCCCCTCCTGGTGTCCCCAGTGAGCTCCCTCCCAGTACACACGTTCACGTGGGCACAGTGCGTGTGCATCCATGTTCATACATGTCCCTGCACATGCCTGTCCCCAGGTACACCCGTGTTCTACCCATGTGCATCCCCTCCAGATGTGCAGGGGTGTGTGCACCCACGAACATCCATACAGCCGCGTGTGCCCCCCCGTGTGCACGTGTGCGTGCACCCATGCAACTCTCTGCCCCTCCATGTGCACACGTGTGTGCCCATGAACGTTTGCACACACACGCCTGCACGTGGACGTGCACCCACACACGTCTGTGCACACGCGTGTGCCTCTCTCCCTATGTGAACATGCGTGTTTGCACCCATGTACATCTGTACATGTACGTGTGTGCACGTCTGGGCACCCAGGCACCTTTCTGTCCCTCCGCGTGCTTGTGTGCCCATGCATCAGCTGTGCACAAATGCATGTGCACCTCCGCATCGCAGCCGTGGCACACGCGTGTGCGCCCCTGCCCCGCGTGCAACGAGTGCGCACGCCACGCGCACCCCGTGTGGTGCTAACCCATAAGCATCTATGCCCCTCAAGTGCATCTGTGTGCACCCACGAACGTCCGCGCACACGTGTGTGCACCCGTGTGTGCACGTGTGTGCGTGTGCGCGCATGCCTGCACGCCTGTACAGCCACATGTGTGCATCCCTCCTCTGTGCACGTGTGCGCGCTCGCGAGCACCTGAATAGCCGCCTCTGCCCCTCGTTCCGCTGCGCGCCGCTTCCCGCACATCTCTGCCCCTCCCGCGCACGCCCGTGCGCGCCCTGCGTCCCGCCCGACCTTGTCCGGGCGCGGCCCTTTAAGGCGGCGGCCCCTAAAGTCGCGCGCGCGGCGCGCCTGCCCCCCTTCCCTCCCGCTTCACCCCCCAACCGGCGCCGGGCCCGTCCGCATCGGAGACGTCAGGCATGGCCGCCCTGCGCCGCCGCGAGTAGAGGCCGCTCCGGCCCGCCCCGCCCGCCCCGTGCCCCGCGGCCCCGTCGCCCCCGCGCCGCCCGCGCCAGGCCCCGCTCCGCACACGACCCCCCCGGACCCCGCCGCCGGTGAGACCTCGCCCGCGCGCCGCGGCTCTAGCGCCGGTTACGGGGGGGCGGCCTGGGACACCGCGGGGGGGGCGCGGGGCGGGGGCGGCCCCCGCGGGGGCGGAGGGGTGAGGGGGGCC